TGGGGTGGGAGATTGGAGCAGGAAAGTCAGCAGGGTCTTTGTCTAAGATAACAGGAGTTTGCAGAAAGGTGACTGTGGAGGTGCAGAGAAGGAGAGCTGAAGGGTCCTCTCAATGACTTTAAAGTAGGGGGAAGGGAAGAGGAAGTGGAGGAGAATCCTGAAGCTGTCACCACAGCTGTCACCTGTGTGCCCAGAGCTCAGGTGCCTTATAATCTCTGGGCCTGTGTTCTGGGCTTTTCTCCTCCTGGGAGGATTCGAGATGGTGTGAGCTGCATCCTCCTCTGCTTCTGCTCCGGTCTCAAGGACACACACGTGCTGGGTGGCTGGCCAGCATTAGGAGCATGGCGTGAGCAGAGAACAGATGCTTCCTTGTGCTGCCTGAAGGAGTGACTCCACACCCTCTGTCTTTTCAGTCTGTCCATGCTCCATCAAAGTACCCACGACCTGGGGGAGGAAGGTTAGGGGAAATGCTGCTCACCTGGAGGTATCCAGCTGGAGTTAGAGAGGGCGGGAGTGGCTGTGTTTGTCCTTATCTCTCTGTGTGTCTGTTTGTGTCAAGAGAGTTACTGTTAAGTGGTGATTTATGATTCAGGCTAGGGATCAGGTCCCTACTGACCCAACTGACTCAGGTCTCAGCTGACCCAGAATGTTAGCGCATCACTCACAAACCGCTTCCAGAGAGATATTTGCACCAATTTTTTTTCTCTGCCTGAAGAAAAACACCCGTGTGCAATCCTGGTTGTCAATTGACTGTGCCAGTTTCACTGCTTTGTTTCTGAAGAATCTTATTTCATCCTCACCACAAAGCAGGGAATAGGCACCAGTGTTATCCCATTACACAAATGGGAAAACTGAGGCTAGGAGAAGGTAAGCAACTTGCCCGGTGATAGAAGCAGGCATGGGGAGAGCCAGAATTTGGTCCAAACCTAGGTTTCTTACCACTGCCACCACTCTGTCACCTATGTAGGCTGGTTTCCTTGTTCCAGCAGTAAAATTAGAGGCAAGAATTCTTCTACTAATAGTAGGTTCTGACTTAGCAGAGGGGGACAAAATAGAAGCAAGACCAAAAGCCACTCTCATCACCCCTAGACCCACTGCGGTGGAGATAGTCAATCAGGTTTGCTATTATTAGGAGGCAAGAGATGGTGCCCTCTGGTGGTAGTTTGGAGAAAGAACAGTGGGTGGTAACCAGGGAGAGTAGTGTGTTAGCAGGTGGGCATTTACGTAGCTGCGTGCATAAAGCTGACCACTGTTTCCCAGGAGCCAAGATGCCCCAGGAAAAGAGCTAGCCATATATCCTGGGTCCGTGGGATGTCCTCATGTCTCTGATCAGATCTGCTCATCAGAGGACTCCCATAACCCAGTGACATCACCAAACATGGGCTACACGGTTTATTATTCAAACCTAGAGACAGTACCTAAATTTAGATTCCTTTCCCTACTATATTGGCATCATCTTGTTTGCAACATGGAGCCTAGGATTTTTTTTTCTTTTGCTGATTTAGAGGTCAGTCTGACAGCCAAAGCTAGGGTAGCTCATGACTGGGTTGTTTCTGCTCAGAGGCACCCAGTCTTCATGGAGGATTTCCTCGGGACCATCCTTTGCATAGTTCCTCAAGGTCCAACCTAGATGGATTCAAACATGGCGTCTTATATGACCAGGCAGGAGGGAACTGTACAGGGGTTGGGGCACAGAACGGGAGGGCCAGGCCTTCTGTTAGTCCTCAGCTCACTAGATGGGGAAGGCATGACACAAGGTTCTCGAATCATGTGGTGCCTGGGGGATTTTCCATGTCCAACAGGAATGGGAGGGTGCGGTGGCTGAGACTTAATACAGAAACGAGTTGACAACCTGAGTCTCTGCAGGCCCCTCTCTGCCCCCTTTAGGGTTTTTCCTCACACTGGGAGTGACCCCCCTTTTCTGGAGGGGGGAGCAGGTTGCGGGGAGCAGCTGGGAGTTAGGGTGCCTGAGTTCTATTTCCAGCAGCGATCACTGACTCACGCTGTGACCTTGCTGAGGTCATGTCTCTGTTTCCCTGGCTGGGAAAAAAAAAACTCAGAGGTGGCAGCTTGCATTTTTGCAAGGCAGAGGAGACCTGGGATATGGGGATTTCCCTGTTTCCCTTGTCTCCAAATCTTGCCTGGTTCCCTGGCTATTCATGAGACGTTACGCTCAGATTTATTTATTTCATTTTATGTTTTTTGGGTCACATCTGGCGATGCACAGGGGTTACTCCTGGCTCTTCACTCAGGAATTACTCCTGGAAGTGCTCAGGGAACCATATGGGATGCTGGGAATCGAACCCGGGTCAGCTGCGGGCAAGGCAAACGCCCTAGCCACTGTGCTATCGCTCCAGCCTCCTACGCTCAGATTTAGATTCGGGAGACTTTAGGGAACACTCAAAGCAAGAATCCACGTGCTTCTGCCATAGCAAGAGCGTTTTCACCTGCGCCGTTTCTCCAAACACCTCTCAGCTCACCTTCCCACACTTGCATGGCCCCACATAGTCTTTACATTGTAGGCAGCAGGTGGATGAGAAGGAAGGTATTTCCTCTCTACTTTCAAGGCAAGACCAAACCTAGTATTCCCCAACACTTTCATCACCAGGGGGGCTGCTTTCCTCCATTTACTCCCACCCACCCCCATGCCGCCTCCCCCCTTGCAAGTCCTTGCAACACACCTAGCATTATGACATATGTTTTCATTCACTACCTTCACCCCTGAGCGCCTCTTTCTGCTCAGCACAAAAGAACTAGGGCTACTACTTGAATTCCTTGCCAAGAATTGCAGCATTCACTCTGGATGACCTCATAGGTAAAGGCCCAATTTTCACCATTTCTTTTCTTTTGGGGGGATGGGGAGGAGGCATTCTGCTTCATGGGACCCAGGGATTTTGAGACCAGGGCTGCAGTTAGCCAGACGCCTAGGCAGGAAGGTCCCAGGAGCGACGCCCCCAGGGCCACGGGCTGTAGCAGAGGACCCCCAAAGGGAGGGTCCTGAAGCCCTAATGCTCAGGGCTTCAATTTGGAATAGTTCATCAGGGCCCATTAGTATTGGCATGGGCGCCTGGAGACCGGAAAGGTGGAAGATGATGCTGATCATCGGGACAGCTGCTTGCAGTTCCCGGAGTCTATGCCCAGAGACTTTTGCCCACCTGGCTGAGCATTGCCAGGCTGCAGTCACGCCCCCCTCCCGTGGCCCAGCACTCTGCCCGTCTGGAGCTCAGAGGCTGCTCCTCCACGACCTGCCTCCTCAAGGGGAGGAGACTCAAGTGCGGGCTGAGACCCTGAGATTGAGACTGTCCTGGCACACTCGGGGACCATGGGAGAGGCGGTGCGCTCAAGAGGTCTGGCTTGCCGGCCTAATACATAAGCCCAGAAAATGCTGCAGGATCCGGGTGCCTCAGAGCTTCTCTGGGATCCCTGGCCCCACCCCCAGCAAACATTTGTTCTCTCTTGAGCCCTTGGCTCTGCCCCAGAGACTCAGATTTTGATCCGTCTAACAGCAGCGGGTCTGCACGTGCCTGGGGGAAAGGCTGGGGGCTTAGCTCTGTGGTTTGGGAACCTGAGCCTCCTCCCGGCCAGTGCTCATCAGGGCGGGGCCGGGCAGGGCCACTGTGGACCCATTGGTCAACAGCTGTTCCCTGTGTTATTTTGGTCTCGGTGAGAGGTTATCCATTTTCCAGGGAATTTGGACCGAAATAGCCAAGAGCAAGATGATCTCTAGGTGGTTCTGTGGGGACCTCTTCTTAGAAATGTTTCTGAAATGGGATGGAGGGAAATGCCTTGGGCTTGGAGAGGAGATAGATGAAGGAGAAACTCTCCTGGAGGGACCCAGTAAGCTTCATGCTCCTCTAGCCTCCACACCTCCCAGGAAGGCTTGTGTATGGGGTGGCTTGGAGGGAGGAGGGGAGTCCAGATAGGTGTTCCTCTTCCTTCCTTCCTTCCTTTCTTCCTTCCTTCCTTTTCCTTCCTTCCTTCCTTCCTTCCTCCTTCCTTCCTTCCTTCCTCCTTCCTTCCTTCCTTCCTCCTTCCTTCCTTCCTTCCTTCCTTCCTTCCTTCCTTCTTTCCTCCTTCCTTCCTTCCTTCCTTCCTCCCTCCCTCCCTCCCTCCCTCTCTCCTTTCTTTCTTTCTTTCTTTCTTTCTTTCTTTCTTTCTTTCTTTCTTTTCTTTCTTCCTTTCTTCTCTCTCCCTGCTTCTATCCTTCCTTTCTTTCTATCTCTTCCTTTCCTTTCTACTCTCTTCTCTGTCCTCCCTCCCTCCCTCTCTCTCTCTCTTTCTTTCTTTCTTTCTTTCTTTTCCTTTTCCCTTCTCTCTCCCTGCTTCTATCCTTCCTCTTCCTTCCTTCCTTCCTTCCTTCCTTCCTTCCTTCCTTCCTTCCTTCCTTCCTTCTTTCCTTCCTTCCCTCCCTCTCCTTTGTTACTATAGTTTGTTTTAATTTTTTGGGCCACGCCCTGTGACGCTCAAGGATAACTTCTGACTGCACTCAAGAATCAATCCTGGCACAGTTCCGGGTGTGTGTGTGTGGGGGGGGGGGGGGGGGAGCAAACCATATAGCTTGCAAGGCAACCTCCTTCCCCTCTGCATTACCTATCTGGCTCTAGTGTTCCTGTTTCATTCCTTTCTGGTTTGGTTTTGGGGCCACACCCAGCAGGGCTCAAGGTTACCCTTTGCTCAGCACCCACTCTTAGCAGTGCTGGGTCGGAACCAGGACCTCCAGCAAAGGAATCCCGGGCTGTGCCCACGAAGCTCTCTCTCATCTTAGCTTGTTCTCTTGACCCGGGGATCCGCTCACAAAGCGAGAAATATTTTCCCCTTCATTTTCCACAGTGGTGGAAGGTGGGCCAAGGGAGATGCGACCCAGGTGGCCCTGAGCTCACACCACATCCATCGGAATCCAGAGCCTTATATCCCTCTCGCTACAGACAGTGGCCGGCAGCTGTGGGAGGGCGGGTACCCGTTCCCTACCAGCCCAGGGCCAGCATGGAAAGTGCTGACGGGTCCTGGTCTTCCTCGGAGCCACAGCAGGGGGCCCTGGCAGCTGCCGGCCCGTCTCCTTGAGATGGGTCAAGCGCGGGTGGGGGCGGGAGGGCGAGAAGACCCGCTTCTCCCGGGGCTCCCTCAGCTCCCAGCCCGCAGCAGGTGCCTCGCACCCGCCCGCAAGCCCCCGGGGATTGCCGCGGGCGCGGAGCCGGGAGACCCAGGTTGCATGCCCTCCGGGACCTGGGGGTGCGCGCGGGGCGCGAGGGCGCACGCCCGGGACACTCGCGCGGAAAACGTCCCCGGGCTCGGGAGCGCTGCCCGACAGGTCTCGTCGGCGGGTCTCCCCGTTTGGGGGGTCGGGGGGACGGCGCCCGGCCGCCGCCCCCTGGGCTTTGGCCGCGGGTGCCGTGCCCGTCCCTCGCCCCTCCCTCCGCGCCACTCCCCCGCCTGCCGCCCGTCCCCGCCGCCCAGCGCCGGAGCTCGCGGGGACACAGGCGTCGGCGTGGCCATGCGCCCCCCGCGCCGCCCCCCGCGCTCCAGCCGGCGCGGCCGCGGCGCTCGGGCTCTGCTGCCTCCTGCTGCTGCCCGGCCCGGGGCGCCCGTGCCCCGCGGGCTGCGCCTGCAGCGACCCGCACACAGTGGACTGTCGCGACCGCGGGCTGCCCAGCGTGCCCGACCCCTTCCCCCTGGACGTGCGCAAACTGCTGGTGGCCGGCAACCGCATCCAGCGCATCCCCGAGGACTTCTTCATCTTCTACGGCGACCTGGTGTACTTGGACTTCAGGAACAACTCGCTGCGCTCGCTGGAGGAGGGCACGTTCAGCGGCTCGGCCAAGCTCGCCTTCCTCGACCTCAGCTACAACAACCTGACCCAGCTGGGGGCCGGCGCCTTCCGCTCGGCGGGGAGGCTGGTCCGCCTGAGCCTGGCCAACAACCGCCTGGCCGGCGTGCACGAGGACGCCTTCGAGACCCTCGAATCGCTGCAGGTCCTGGAGCTCAATGACAACAACCTGCGCAGCCTCAGCGTGGCCGCCCTGGCCGCGCTGCCCGCGCTGCGCACCCTGCGCCTGGACGGGAACCCTTGGCTCTGTGACTGCGACTTCGCCCACCTCTACACCTGGATCCAGGAGAACGAGTCCAAGCTGCCCAAAGGTGAGCCTCTATGGGGGGCGGCGGCGGGGCGATGTCCCACACAGCCCCCGCTGGCTTCCCAAGAGGAGGGGGGAGGAGGAGGAGGAGGAGGAGGAGGAGGAGGAGGAGGAAGAGGAGGAGGAGGAAGAGAAGAAGGAAGAGGATGAAGAGAAGGAAGATAAAGAAGAGGAGGAGGAAGAGGAAGAGGAGAAGGAGGGGGGAAAAGGAGGAAGAGAAGGAAGAGGAAGAAGAGGAGGAGGAGAAGGGAAGATTAGGAGGAGGAGGAGAGAGAAAAGGGCAAAGGAAGAGGAGGAAGACGAAGACGAGGAAGAAGAGGAGGAAAAGGAGGAAGAGGAAGAGGAGAAGGAGGAGAAGGAAGAGGAAAAGGAGGAGGGGAAGAAGGAGGAGTAGGAGAAGGGGGAGGAGGAGGAGGCAGCGGTGGCTTGTGTACAAGTAAGAGTTAAATGAGAGTTTCTCAGGGTGCAGCCTTCGTGGTTCCCAGCCTGAGCTTTTCCTGGGACTGCTGGGAAACGTGGGCCAGGGGCATCTGGAATCCTGTATAATTTCTGGGCTCCCTGGCCTGCTCCGTCCTCCCTTTCTAAAGTAAGGTGGGTGACATGTCTGGGTTCCCAAGGCCACAAGCAGCTTCTGGAGTTTGGGGTCCTAGAATTGGCGGAGGGGTTGTTTTACGTTACCCTTCCGTAGGGAAGACATCCTTTGGTGTGTCAGCACCCTTCTTCCTGCCGTGAACCTGGAGAACTGGCCAGCCAGTTCTCAGAACTTTCCTGAAGCCCCTGGGGCTGAGCAGGTCTGTTCTCAGTTTACTCTTCTGTCTCCAGGATGAGAAATAGTCCTGGGGAGAGAATCTTGGTGGTCTGCTCAAAGCCATGAGGCAGGGAGAGGTTTCTAGGGCTGTGGCTTTGCCAGCCAGAGATGGAATCACCCAGTGAAAACCTGTGAGCTGCTGGTCTGGTTGCTTTCCTGATGGATGGCTCCAGGTGTGTCCAGACTTGGTTGGAAGAACATGAGGGCACAGCAGTTATGGGTTCTCATGAAAATGAGCAGGAAGTACATAAAGCCAGAGCTCAGAAGGTGGGGACTGCAGCCTCCTGCAGGGTGAGCCTTCAGATAGGGTGTGGGCAGTGTTGGTCTCCTGGCAGGTGAATTCCAACCTTGTAGTGAGCACCAGGAGAGCCTCCAGCAGGGCGCTCTGGACCCCGTCTCCTGCTTCCACCTGTCCTGAGGGTTGGGGAACCTGAACCATAGGTGTCAGATACTCATTAGGAAAGGTGATCTAGCCAGTGATGTGGCTCAGTGTAGAGCACTTGCCTTGCATGTATATATAATGTCCCAGATTTAATACCCAGTAGGATCCAGTCTCCTGAGCATTGCCAACAGTTATACCCCAGCCTCTGGGGTTAACTGTGATTAACTTTTTAAAAAATCACTGGGTGTTTGTCCCTAAAATCAAAACAACAATAACAAAAGAAGTAAACAAAGTAAAAGGTGAGATAAATGCAGCTTTGGGCCCGTCAAGGCATCACTCAGCAGCAGCCCCTTTTGTTCCAGAACGGCTCTATCGGCTCTATCGTAAGCGTGAGTTTGCCCAATACTCTGGTTTCTTTTCAGATCATATGAATCTTTTGCCTTTTTTTTTAAACTAAATATTTCCATGGAGAGGAACAATTCTGAGTTTTTACGCAATGTTTTTAAGCCTTGCTTTTGCAGGGCAAATAAAAGAAGCACGCTTTCCCTAGATGAGACTTGCAAGATACAGAGTCCTCTAATTTTAAGCTTTGATCTTTTTTTAGTTATCTGGCTCCCCTTGCTCTCTTCTCACCAAAAGTTTGTCCTGAGGAAGACATCGCTGTGGTCTGGGGTCGACCTGATTTCACTTGCTCTGGCCCTGCTTGCTAGGGGAGTTGGCATCCTCAGTCCCCACGATTAGTTGAGCTAGCACAATTGGCCTCATTGTCATCTGCATGAGGGTAAGGCATTCCGGGTCAGAGGGCATGAGCTTTAGGCTCTGCATGCATGACTGTGACCTTGAACATAGCACACAACCCACATGGGCCTCAGTTTCCTCATCTCTGGATACTTTGGTTGATACCTGAGGTCTTGCAGAGCCCTGAATTTGGAGTCTGAGACTGTAGATTTGAGTCCCAGCTTAAAAAGTGGATATTGCACCAGAGTGATAGTACAGTAGGTGGGGCATTTGCCTTTTTTGAGGCCAACCCGAGTTTGATACCCAGAACCCCATAGGGTCCCCCAAAACTTCCCTCAGGAGTGGTCCTTGGCACAGAGTCAGGAATAAGCTCTGAGCAACACTGGTGTGGCCCCAAAATAAAATGGAGAACTGGGTGTCTCTGGGGTCACTTTACCGCCCCTTGTCTTGTCCATGTGAGATGCTGGGATTCAGGAATGCTGCCTCGTGCATAGCATCAGGTGGTCTTCATGAAAACCAGATGATGTGGGTGAGAGTAAGAACCAAGATGGATGTGAGGGCACTTCCTGCTTCCAAGAGAGAGAGGATATAGGGACTCTGACAGTAGAGGGTGAGTAGGGAGTATGGGCAGTTGAATGGTTTCAAGCAGACATGGGGTGGGGGAATCTCATTCTGGGCAGTGAGGATGGAGGTAGCTAGAGGGTTGCATGAGGACTTTGGGTCTGGGGCATGGGCCAGGCTCACCCTAGGCTGTGCACGTTGTGAGTCTCAGGAGCTGTGAACTAGAGGCGGGCATGAAGTTGTGGATTAGCACCAGCCTAGGCGGGCTGGGTTTCAATCCACACTCAGCTTTGTGCCCTAGGCCGCCAGTGCCTGACCTCTTTGAGCCTCAGTTTCTCTAACCCCGAGGTCAGGGTGCAGAACCACCCTTATCCCATGCTTCTTGTCCAGGTTGGATGAATGATCCTGATGAAGGCCACAGAGGTGCTCAGTGGACAGTAGGTACCCAAGAGCTGCCAATCTCCCCTTCCCTCTCCCGGTGCATTTGTGTCTCTGCTATTTGCACAAGCTGTAGGAAATGGCTGATAGCTTCTGGTCATGAACTGCCTAGATCCAAGTGCTACCACTTCTCACTAGTGGCGTGACTTTTCACTCTGACTACCAGAACATGAGGTCAGATGGCAGCTGTTGATCAGTGCAATGGGCTGTTACCCACTTTAGAGGGTTGTTGGGAGGATTAAAGTGGATACTGTGGTTAAGGGCTTGGACCAGTGCTTAGAACAGTACATAACTGTCATTAGTGCTGTTAATTAAACTCTTGTTTGTTTGAAGTTCTCCCAGGTAGAGTTTGGGGACCCAGAGGCCACTCCTGGTGATCTGTAGCCAGCCATGTGAGCTGTTGCTTCTGTGCTCTGGCAGTCACTGTAGCTCTTGCAGGCCAGTATGCTGGGGACCTCCGGGGCTACATCCAGGATATTGAAGGATGGTTAGGCGCCAGAGATTGAATTTAGGACCTCATACATACAAAGCATTTTGAACTTTCTCCCCAGATCTTTACATTCTTTTTTCACCTCAAGGTGATGGGAGCAACTTGCCTAAGGTCATAGCTTAGGGGTGACCTATTATCCTAGGATCTCCTGGCTTCCAGCGACCTACCAAGATGCTCTCTCTCCTTGCTCTTCCCAGACAAGGAGCAGTGGCAGGAGCCTAGTAGCTTCTGTCCTACAGACTTTCCCCTCCACTTCCATGCTCTCTTCCCCCAGAGAAGCAGAGAAGAGCTAAGCAAGTGACCTTGACCAGCTCTGATGGTTATACCCAGCTGCCAGGGAGTTATGTCCTTGCAGTCATGGGAGCACTCAGCCTAGAGCCCCAGGGGAGGAAGGAACATAGCAGCAGAGCTGGGCTGGGCAGGAACTGCCCTGTCGCATCTGATTTGGGGGGAGGAAGAGGACACAGGCCTGCCTGCCTGCAGCAGCCAAGTTCACAAAAACAAATCAAACTAACAAAACCCCAAGAACGATGAATTAGATTGGATTTCAGCTCAGTAACCAGGAATGGTTTGATAAGTATGTCTCATGCAAGATTTGGGGCACACAAAAGTATGTTGTTTTAATTGAGCATCTTGTTTCATACCTAGATGCTCTACCCTGGAGCCTACCTTCCAGGTACCCTCCCTTTAATAAAATAGTGCCTGGTAGGTACCTTAATTCATGATTTACCACCAAGAAACCTCTGAAGTGCAAAGTGAAAAGGTTGGGCAAGGTAGAGCAATTATCCTACTCCTAATTTTTTTCTTTCTCTTACACTTTGGATTCGTTTTATTTATTTATTTTTATTTTAATTTTTTATTTGAGGTAGAAATTGTACATCTTTATTTAAAAGTATTCTAACATGTTGATTTTCCATTAATTAATTAATTTATTATTTTTTAAATTAATTAATTTATTTATTGAATCACCATGGGAAAGGTTACAAAGCTTTCAGGTTTAGGTCTCAGTCATGCAAATATCAAGCACATTTCCCTTTACCAAAACTTATTTTTTACTATGAAGAACCCCAATAAAACCCCACCCCCCACCCCTCCCAGTCCCTGTGGGGCAGATGAATTCTAGTTAACACTCTATCTGCTTTGATTAGATTCATTGTTTCAATAAAAGATTCACCACTATTATTTAGAGTTTACCCCCCCCCCCCCCCCCCCCGAATCAGACATGCTGACAAAGCATTGTGAAGTGATTTGCTTTCTACAGCTGGGTTCAAGAATTATATGTTGGTTTTGGATTTCTGCTATTTTACTTATTGACCCTGGAAGTATTTCTACTGAAAGTCAGATAGTTAAGAAATTGGTTTCTGTGCTCTGGAGTCGTGGCCGTGCTGGAGAGCCGCTAGTGGGGGGCAACTGGTGGCCTCGGTAGGGCGTGAAGGGCGGACCGAAACGCCCCCCTTCCCATGAGGTTTTAGTCGCCCCCAGTCCCCCGGCTCATACCTGCTGTCCACAAGGCTCCCATGCGGCCGCCATCTTTCTTTCCAGAGAGGAGAAGGCGACTGGGGCAACACCCTTTCTCCTCCGGACAAA